CCAACTGGCGTATTTCGTATAGAGAAAAACGTTGAGTCGATGGTCTAGAGGTAAGAGATCTGACTCATGTCAAATTAGTCGCGTTTCGATCCCGGCTTGAAGCAATCGGACGTCTAGCCACACTGAGCGGCTGTGATACAGCGAAAAAGTCAATTTGTGGGTGACTATATATTTAAATATACCGGTAACAATCCGTTGGTATATAATCCTAGTGAATCCTCATAATACAAAATATTAAAACTGCTTCATAAAATGAGCTCAAAGTCTTTATTAAATATAATAATTATAAAATTAAATAATAATTTTTAATCATTTTATTTTTTATATTATATTATATATTATTATTTGTATATTATATAATGCTTTAATTTTAACTTTAAATGCTACCTTTTTACTTACTCTTTCTTAAAATTTAAAAAAAATCTTCTCGTATTTTTAACTTATTTCAAGCAATTTTCAAAATATAAACTGGATGTTAATATTTTAAAATATAGGTCAATGCTATTTTAACTGTCTCCTTGAACCAACACTCCTACTTCTACTACTATGATATTAGAAGTTTATTTAATTTTATGTCCAGATTCTCATTGCATCTTCCTTCTTCTTCTTCTTTCGCTCTTTCTTTTTTCTTTTTTCTTTTTTCCTTCTTTCTCTCTTCTCCTTTAATTCTTTAAATCTTTAAAATTTTAAGCTCCTATTTTATATCTTCACACCTCAGTGTTGATAAGGTAAAACTTGTATGTCGAAATAGCTATTCGAATGAGGTAATCTTGAATTTTTATTCCCTCTCTCTATATGTGTATGTGTATTGTGTGTGTGTGTGTGTGTGTGTGCGTGCGTGTGTATATGTGCGTGTGTGTTTGTGTATATACAAATGATTGAGGGGCTGCAAATATTACAGCCTGAGCGAGGAACCTTTAAAAGTTTTTTCAGGTGGTCAGATTTTGGAAATGAGTACAGAATCGATATTGAAACGACACACTTCTCTAATTCTTATCAAATTACTACACAACAAAATTATTTTTGAAAAGGGTTCAGGATTGGTTTGAAAAACTTTCAGCGCCTCCCCATACATATATACATACACACGCACGCACACACACACACACACACACACACACACACACACACACACATATATATATATATATATATATATATATATATATATATATATATTTATAGCCACCCCCTTTTGCTTTTGGTTTGTCGGCTGCAAACTCGAGAAATCTTAATAAAGAACAAAATGTGCTTGGGACCCATTTTCTTTAACTTTGAAGCAATATATATATATATATATATATATATATATATATATATAAAAAGTGGATTTTGGTGAAAATATATATATATATATATATATAAAAAGGATTTTTAAGTAAATAAATATATATATATATATATATATATAAATAAAAAGGATTTTTTATATATTTTGGTGAAATAATATATATATATATATATATATATATATATATATATATATATATAAAGGATTTTGGTGAAATAAATTATTGTAATGGTACCTTAAAGTGTCTGTTTTTCATTAAATATTAGCTCTGTTCTTCATTGAGCTCTCAGGATTTCATCCTCCTTGGAATTCCCAATTCGGTTTACCAAATTCTTCATAACTTATATATATATATATATATATATATATATATATATATATATATATATATATATATGATCGTTCAAATAGTTCGACCCCGTAACCCTTTTAGTTGTTTTTTTATTCCTATGTATGGAGTTAATGCAACATTTTATTGCTTGAAATCATTGCGAAACTTTACAAAGAAGCTAGCATTAAGAATTAATAGTGAAGACTCTGATCCTGCTAAGATACTCGGAATTTCAACAAGCGTTATTTCACATAAACTCTTTTGATTCAACCACAATGCAGTCGCTATCAAAAGCTTCGTATATGTTTGCATGAAAACTGATCATGACAGCAAGAATTCAACAAGACAAGTGATGAATGTGTGTTAATTTTGAGTCGGTAGCTACAAATAAGCGAATCATTCAACAACATGCAATGGGGTGGCTTGCTGCTTTGAAAACAACCATTGAACAAAAAGTATTTGAAGATCAGGTTAAATTTCATAAAGAGCTATGATGTATGGAATATAGATGTTTTGAATACGAACGTTTTCACCGATGGAACTGTGATGAAATTACTTTCTAATAAATGAGAATATATTCAAGGGAGTGAAACGGCCCAGGTTTCATGACGAAAATATCGAGGTAAATAGGTAATAGCGAGGTAAAATCACTGTCTTGATTGGAGATACGTAAAAAGATAACGGTACAAAAAAGTTAGTCTAAAGTGAGGTAGCTTGTATAGTGCCACATGCTTCCAGTTGCGGAAGGATAATTTGGTACCAGATTTGGATGGATGTGATATTTTTTTTCAATAGTGATACTATGTTGGGATATCAATATAAAAGGCGATGATGTGAAATTCTATCTCAATCTCAAATGTTTTATGTTTCATGACCTTCCACAAAGTCTGGGAGATATCCGTCTCCGAAGGATTCACCCATCTGACCAAAAGGGAAAAGAAATATTAAAGAAATAAAAATCTTTTGGTAGCAAGTGACGAGAAAATCGGACATTGAGAATTCCGGTCACAGGTTTATATTAACAGCGACAATTGGGATTGGTGCAGTTAAAGATCTGTACTGCCCGTTAATGGGGACAGACTGTAGATTAGTTACTTACGATACCGCTTGTTATAATTACCAGCTCCGTGTTTTAATGTAGAGAGGATGAGAGTGTTATTAGGAGGAAGATTTTAAGGGAAAATTAATCCCAAATGTCAGTAGTGGTAGAAGTTGTCCTAAGTGTTACCCACTTACCAACTGAGATTTTTTGGAATAAACTTTTAATATACTGAAATCACGGTCCAAGTCGTTATTTATCGCCACTGTGTTTATTTTCACCTTTCGTTTTCTTGTGAGTTTGCTGTGAGCCTATTCGGGTTTCTTGGTGCAAATTTGACACAAACGAAAATAGAGATGCAACCTGTGGTTTCATGTCCCCGGTCAGTGCAAACCTAGGAGGAAATCCGTTGTATGTTTACACAGCAAGCCACAGATCGCGTGCAACACAATGTCGTCTATTTGATTGAGGTATCTTAGTATTGAAAGTATGGCCAGCTCACGTACCTGACTTAAATATAATCGTTCAAATGTGGACAGAACTCAAGAGAAAGGTTCGTCAGAAGAATCCACGCAATCTTGAAGGGATGTCGGCGCTCAGCAACACAGAATAAAATCTTATAAATGTTAAAATTGTAAAGGATTTGCATGCAGATCCCGAGTGCAGTGGTGAAATTATTCAAGCTAAAGAAATTCACACGAAATATTAACAAGGTACACCGACTTCTTAAAATGAACATTATAGCAAATTTTCATCATGAATATTTTTTTTTTTTCAGAATACTTTATCTGATATTGTCTATGTCAAATGAACTTTTTGTGGTGGGGGTCATCTCGTATTTTTCACATTGTTAAGACACCTGCTATCGAATATGACAATTAGGTCTGGAAACAACTCCAAAAGATTCATGTTTCCGCTGTAGAGAATACAAGGCGAAACATACACTTATAAACTATAAATTGTTAGAATTCTATAATAGTTTAAAGGAGTATCTAAGATTTTTGCATGGTACACACACACACACGTGCGCGTGCGGGGGCACACACATACACATACACATACACACATATATTAGAAATTTACTATAGTTTAAGGGGAGTATCTAAGATTTTTGCATGGTACACACACACACGCACGCGCGCACACACACACATATATTAGAATTTTACAATAGTTTAAAGATAGTATCTAAGTTTTTTTTCATATGTGTGAGTGTTTCTGCGTGTGTGTACCATGCAAAAATCTTAGTTACTCCCTTTAAACTATTGTAAAATTCTAATAATTTATAGTTTATATGTGTATGTTTCGCCTTGAATTTTCTACAGGCATATATATATATATATATATATATATATATATATATATATATATATATATGTGTGTGTGTGTGTGTGTGTGTGTGTGTGTGTGTGTGTGTGTGTGTTTATGGCTTATCAGTCCGTTTTGCCTTATTTCAAGCTAAAACATGTTTTTCATTGTAAAAACAATTCTTTCCTTTTTGCAAGTGAATATTGCGTTAACAATTATCTTGGAAATAATAATGATTTTTTTTCTACATAAAATTCCTACTATTTAACTCATGGCTCGCGGGCAGATGGATTAATACCTTTTCCAATGGTATTTGCACGTAACCCAACTTGAATTTGAACTCCTTCCTCCCAATTTTCATTCCGAGCTGCTATCTATTGCATCACCCTCTCATCCATATGTACAGATAAATATATGCACACACACACACACACACACACACACACACACAGACATGTTTGTGTGCGTGTGCGCGTATGTATGGCGATTTACAAATTATTACACACTTATGGACTTTGACATGGCTTTATTAAGTAGATCCTCGCTCAAAGTAGATATTCTGATAAAGTTTTCAAAGTTGTCGGCCATCTTGTGGCGTAGAAGGCTGATAACAATTCAATCTGTTTGACAACGATGCATGCTGCGACAAGGTTCAATGTGGTGCAAAAGACCTGAGGATGTATTTGTCATTTCATAGAGATACACGCGTACACCATTTGTTCAATTAGAATTATTTGAGAGGAGTCGGCTCGTAGGCCTCCCGAGAAGCTTGCTGATCAATTTCGCTGTTTGGCAGCTACGGTCAAATCAACATTCCTACATCCGTAGGCCAAGTTCTGGACGATCGCGTAGTACAGACATGTGCCAATATCCATAGATTGTATGGGAAGCAATATCAGACGGCGCCACCTCTACAATATGCATTAAAATTCAAAGCAAATTTATCTGCCCTAAGATTCGTTTACTTGTACCAAGACTAGTGGTAAGCCTACCTCTAGACATGCTTACACTTAAGTCACATAGTGCCGTGCTTACGGTCAAATCACGGTGAAACACCGGTTCTCGTTCGATCACCGAAGTTAAGCATCGTAGAGCCAGGTCAGTACTTAGATGGGGGACCGCTTAGGAACACATGGTACTGTAAGCCCCCAAAGTCCAACCCTTACCTCACAGTCGGTGGGGGGGGGGTAAACGGTAGTGTCAGAGCTATGCCGCCCGGAACTTCGTTCCTGGTAGGGCCACCCAAGGCGGACAGGTCTGACACACACGCCGGCTAACAAGGGCTCTGGTGAAAATCCAAGAAGGAGCGTCTGCATCGGTAACCGGCGGCTCGGCTTCTGGTCGTTCCTGTCTCTGCGTCTGTGGGAACCCCGCGGCAAGCAAGAACGTTATCCGAGTAGGCCTGGGTACCCTACTTCTGTAATTTATCCCAAGAATCTTCTTCTCATAACAGGAAGAAGCCGGCTCAATCCGCCCAGGGTGAATGCCGCATCAGTACCGTGCCGTGCGCAGCTCTAGTTTTCTTTATTAGGGTTTGACACTGTTGAGTTCTCAAACATGCAATATCTAAGGGGTTTTGCATGAGATCGAGGGATAGCATGTCACCGTCTTAGTTCTCCACTCAGTATTCTGTACTCAGTACTCTTGATAGATCAGCACTTTACTGAGTATTCTGTAATTTGCACTAATTATTCTCTGCTCAGTATTCAATACACTTGAGAGTTCATCAATGTATTCACTATTCTGTATTCTGTACTCATTATTCACCATTCAGCATTCTGTACTCAGTACTATAGATACTTAATCACTGTACTCTGTATTCTGTAATCAGAGTTATGTACTCAGTACTCTTGATAGTTCAGTACTGTACTCAGTACAGTCTACTCTTGATAGGTCTGCTCTGTACTCAGCATTCTGACTGTTTTTTTTTATGAATGTCATCTATACATATACGAATACAAACCAACCAATTGGGTGATCTGCCTACATTTCAAAATTCCAAATAATTGGTTTTGGGATATACTACTTGTGACAAGGTTCAAGTTTCAAACGTTTGCACAATTCCTAGCAGATGGTTTTTCCTAACCAATCATAACTAATTTATACTCCTTCTGTTCTATTGGAACTTTTTCAGAGGGCCTCTCGAGCGACTGGATGCTCATTATTAAGAAAAACGATTCATGTTGGATGCGAAATGTTAGTGTTATTCTGACGTTAGTAAAAGAATTTAAAAAAAAATATTCCTACACTCATAGATTCAGTTTTGGACGGCCAACTAATACAAACGGTCATCAAGAGCATGTTTCTGACATCAGTGCCAGACAACATAGTATTAAATAAATGTTGCCCTTGGATTGACAGACACACATTTAAATAACCTTTGATTTTTGCATGAATACGAGTAAGCCGGCCTTCAGGCTTCAACTTCCGTCAAAATATCGCCGTGCACATTGCTAGTTTGCAGTGATCTCTAACCACCCAACGGGGGAAAAATTTGCTTGTAACTGTCAATACTTCATAAGTCAAGCAAATAAATTTTCACCATCACCAAGCTCAATCTAAATTCTCTCCAGTTATAATAAGTAGTTTGAATTTTAAATTAGGCTTCTTGCTTTGAGAGTCTTTGGGGACACATGTCCACTTCAGACCTCAAGTGCAAATCTTAGTTATAATTCGTCGCTATTTGCATTAACGCAGGTGGTTGTTCTTGTAGAATTAGCTTGGTATTCAACAGTGCTCAATTGAATTACATTTCCAAGAGCTAAATTATGTCATAGGCAGACAGTACTATTTCGCTGTATCACAGTTCCTCAGTGCGACTAGACATTCGAATGCCTCAAGCCAAGATTGAAACCCAATATGCCCCCCATACATACATATGTGTATATATAGGTAATTCATAAGAAAAACGATACTTGTGGAGCATACTTTCAGCAGACTCACTGAAATATTGACAAATATGACTAACAACACAGCAGTCTAACAAACTCCTGCAAATTCTGTGCCATTTCCCATTTACGCGGACGTTGTTCTGCATACAAGCAATGTACATAATGCAACAGCAAAGAATACTTCGCCAGCTGTTGTCACTCCCGAAAGTCAGTGCGACAAAAAGAAATATGTACTGACTCATCTGATTCTGACTCAAATCCATAAACATATGTAAAATGTGTAAATGTACAGTTCTTTATACAACTCTAGCGAATATCCGACTCTAACTATCAATTCTGCCTTGACAAGAATAAACTCAGACCAAAACAGGAGTATTGATGGCAAAACTGGGCTGGAACCGCCAAATTCTACCTTTCTAGCCTCGACAGAGTTCAAAAGCGTTTATTTTCCACCATACAATACTTCTCCCAGAGGCGCAATATCACAAGCCTCTCTTTATTCTTATGGAAAATGTTCTGACGAGCTTCATTCCCTAGTTCCACCATTTCAGGCATTTACAGCTGAGACCTGCCATGTCATACAAACAGAGGCGTATACTTGTTATTTAATTTTATGAAATTTCGAGAAATTCATTTTTGAACGGTTTACTATTTATATTTCTGTCTATAAAAGGCAGGATGTGTGTGTGTGTGTGTGTGTGTGTGTGTGTGTGTGTGTGTGTGTGTGTGTGTGTGTAACGAATGCACGGCCCCAATTTTCGACGGATTTGCACGAAAATTTACATGCACATGCTCCAAGTTCGCGGAAAGGCCAAGATCGACTTTGCATTTCCCAACTCCCATCGATAGTGGAAATAATCGATTGTTTCAGGCTTCTACGGCAGTTTTCATATAGCTTGCGGCCATTTACTACTGGCCAACGTGAGTGCCAACAGCTGACTGACACGAATGTTAACTAGCATGCTAACATGCAAAAAAAATCGATAGCCGCATTCGTCACAAGTGGGAAAAATTTAAATCTGCATGGCACTTTACTCCAGTTGGCTCATTTGCTTGCTTAACCTCAAGGTTGATTCTGATTCCGCGGAACTGGGTTAAGTGTGAAAAAGTATTTGTTGTTAACATTCTTTTTTCATTCGGTTTTTCCAGTCACGAGTCCTTTTTTAAAGCCGATCGTTTTTTATTCATTTTGTTTAGTTCTTTTTTCGTAACAGATTTAATGTTTAGTATAGAGCTTAGAAAAAATTCGCAGTGTGAGATAGGCAAGAAGTAAGGCATGTAGCAACATCAGCACGGCAAAGGAAACTCCTTTAAAGGCAAGGAAGGACAAAAATATTTAAAGTCAAGTGATAGTGATTGCTGTATGAGTCGTACGATTTTTGAATCAAGCACGGGCAACGCCGGGCCATGCTGCTAGTTACCTATAAGCAGAACTACTTGAAGAATTTAAATCACCAGTTTTGGTTCTTGTAAAACAAAGCCACCAGTTACAGAAAGTCTGCTCTGAATCGTAAAATTAAAAATGCACTAAAATTAAATATTATGTAATTAGAAAATATTTTAATTGCTCTTGTAAGTTATATTATGGTTACTATTGCTTTTTACCGACGAATAATATTTTTACAAGAATTATTTTCATTTTTAATACAAATTAGAATAATTTATAAAGTTTTATATATTTTAAAATTCTGTATTAATTTGTAGAGGTTAGGTGATATTACTGTTAAGTAAAATCTTATTAACTAATCATTAATGGAAAAGTTTGCTACAATTCATCGACTCATATTATTTTACAAAGAATTTAGAATTTTTTGTGTGTATAAACGTGCCGATTTTTAAATACAGACATACAGCGTGGTAACGATAGTAAATTTTAAGCCAAAGTAAATAAAATTCAATAAAATATTAGATTACTTAGAATATTTTCCTAAAATTTTAAGAATACAGGGAAGTTAAAAAAAAGTTATATAAAAAAGTTGTTCACGTTATATTCCTCAAGTAATATTTACGGAGATGATTTGTGTAGAAAAAATAGTTAAATCACCGCCTGTCAAGCTTTCAGTAGACCTGTAAACATTTAATAAAACAAATACCTGTGTGTTAAAATACATTTCTCTGATATTTCAATTTAAAAGTAAATAATATTTGTTTCAAATCAGGTTACTTAACATTTAACTAATATTCCTCAAATGTTTCAGAAAAGTATATTCTATTCTTGAAAGATTTTTAATAAATATAATTACATTGTTCTGAAAGATTGCTAAAAATTTCATTTAAAACACATATCAGCACCAAGAACTGCTTGAGAATTTGGGTCAGTTATTATAAACTTAACTAAGGAAATTACATTTTTGTAAGTTACAGAGGCTATGCATTTGCCTAGAACTGGAATGTTAGTATTGTTGTAGGCAGTGAGAGTGGCTGAAGTTGATTTCAGTCTTGGACGCCGGGGAAGTTTGTTATATATTCTTTTGGGAATTACATTCATCTCAGCGCTTTAGTCGATTTTAAAATTAATCATAAAACCATTAGTGTCGAGATTTACAGCAGGGTTTAACTTTCTTATCAGAGTTGAGTGAGTTAATGGAAGATATATGCGGTTTATTTGAAAACTGAGTTAAATGGTAGAGATCCTTGGCATTTGATCATGCCTGGAAGAATTTCGATTGTTATGGATTTGAGTCATAAACATATAAGTCAGTATATATTTCTATTTGTCGCACTGACAACAGCTGACAAAGTATCCTTCGCTGTTGCATTTTGTGCATCGCTTGTTGTACGCAGGACATCGTCCGAGTAAATGGGAAATGGCACAGAATTTGCAGGAGTTTATATAAGACTGTTTGCTGTGTTGTTAGTCATATTTGTCAATATTTTAGTGAGTCTATTGAAAGTATGCTCCACAGGTATCGTGTTTCTTAGGAATTACCTATATATACACATATGTATGTATGGGGGGCATATTGGGTTTAAATCCTGGCTTGAGGCATTCGGATATCTTGTTGCACTGAGGAACTGTGATACAGCGAAATAGTACTGTCTGCGTATGACATAATTTAGCTCTTGGAAATGTATTTCAATTGCGCACTGTTGAATGCCAAGCTAATTCTATAACAACAGGCACCTGCGTTAATGCAAAGCTCTTCAGTAAAATGAATGGAGCCCTCTGGCTGATTGGCATTTGTTTATATTCGTAAAAACAATTCATTCTGTCTGATGATTATAAAAATTTTGAAACCCAGGGTCACAAATTA